CGAAAAAAAAAGGAAATCATCGAAATCAATACTCGATAACATAAAAGTCTTATAACAATACTGGATAATTCCAAGAATTTATTAAAAACCTAAACTCTAATTCCATTTTCATCAAATAAACCAAATACTGAATTCAGAACATCTCACTGAACCGGTTTCTTTTCTTTTGAATATTGTTCCTTTTCGACTCTGTCTCCTTCACCAATCTCAAATTCAACAAAAGTATAATCCTCTCTAGATTCTTCTTTGCAATCTTTGTTCGAGGTTGTTTCCGTTTCTTCGACTATGTCTTGTTCCTGTTCTAAAAAGTCCGTAGGTACAAATTCCATTTGATCTTCGTTTATATCAGGTGGCTCGGGCATCTCGCAGAAATGAATTTCTCTTTCGCCATCAGTAGTTTCATTACCACCCGGATCATCCTCCTCGTGTAAACTCATAAGTTTGTCGAAGTTTGACGGAGTTGAACTATCCTCATTATTCTCAGGGAACATTTCCGTAGGACTGAGAGGAATATCTAGGGGTTCCATTTTAACCGTAGTAGTTGGCGATGTAGGTGTGACAGGTCGTTGTAAGCGTATCTTTGTAAAAGGTTTTGGCTCAATCGATTCTGAGTGTTGTCGTTTTTGCGCACGTTTAGGACTAGAAGGTATAGAAACTCCAGAAGTGGAAGGTTTCTCTTTGGTTTCTGAAGCAGTTCGAGGAATTGGTTGAGATAGTACTGGCTTCGATTGCGGAATAAGCAGAGGTGGCTTTGGATTCTATAAAAAAATATATTTTGTAAAAAATTACATTGATAGAATTCTAGGTTCATTAGAAAAAAAAAAAATATTGTTCACCTGTGAAGAAGGATTTGGTCCAGCTAATCCTTTTACTTGTAACGCTTCAGCTGCGTTCAACAATTGTGGTAGTTTATCATGGGCTACATTCACTTCTCCGCGATACATGAATTTGACTAGTGCTTCAACTTCCCAAAATTTAAGATCCTTCATTAAAATAATTGGATGCTGACACGGATTCTCGCGCAATAAATCCGCGAGATAATCACTGCAGGCTGAAAGTATCATTTTATGACACTTTAACGAACGACCTTCGCAGGCCAAGGTAACATCAACGAACTGTTCAGAATCCAACAAAGATGGAAAACTGTTTTGCATGTTACTATGATAACTGTTCCATCTTAAACAAACCTGAAAGATATAGGAAAATATTAAAAATATTAAGTTATTGCTACAGAAACTTAACGTTACACTTTTTCTAATGTAATTTACAAGGATCATTACTTCTGTAGGCTGTTGATGAACAATATTATGAGGTACTCCTTGACTGGTCTGTCGAGGTGGCATTTTAATAGTAGTAGGTGCAACTTGCTTTACCTTTAAAGGTATCGTTTTTAATACAAGAGTCTTTGGTTGTCGTTGCTGCTGTTGCTGTTGTTGCTGCGATATAGGTGCTGGTGCAATGTTCCTAATATGAGATCTTACCAAGGATTGTGCTGCTATTCTTATAGTCTTGCTAGTTGAATTTGTTTGAGAAGGTGATTGTAATACTGTAAAAAACAATGACCATTACTTTTATATTATAACTACTGTATCTTAAAAAAGTACAGATACTTCATGTTTATAATCATTAAAATGATTCTCCAGAAGATATCAGTATGATAGCTTAAGAATGCATACATTCATCAAAGTATTTGGTATTGAAGCAATAAAGAGCTCTTATATATAGATCTCAATATTATTTATATTGAGTATAAACCATGTTTCAAATCTTATCTAATACAAATTCATACATACTATAACAGTGTTCATTAACATCTTTAGTATAATTATCAAGTCACACAGTATCACTCTCCTAATATAGAAGTATTAGTAATGACTGAATCGTTCAGAAACCACACTGATCAATTTCATATATTGAAATGTAAAAACAAGTGATGGTTATAGGTATTATTTTTAAAAATTTAAGATTATTTATATCATCTCCTTGTAATACAACTAATTTGATTAGTAATTTTAAGTGATATATTATTAGATTTGGCTTCTTGTAATACAAGTAATTTTAATAGTTGTATTACAAGAAACCTAGTATTGGTCAGTAATGATCAATTGTGTCCTTACTGAAAGTCAAGTAATGAATTGTTGAAAGTAATAATGCTGAAAGTGGCAGCAAGACTAAATCATTATTAGAGAAATATACAAAATTTTGGGTACTTTAAAGCATTTTTGAATACTATTTTTCAATTTCCTTTTTAATATTTCATTTTTTAATAATTTTTAATAATTCTTTATGTAAGGACTTGTAAAAGTAAAACATTAATTTTTAAAGAAATTGAAGACTAATCTTGTAACTAATCAAGTAATCAAATCGAGTGGTTTAGTAAAATAGTAAATAGACTGCGGATATTTATGCAAATTTAAAAAAATAAACTCTATATAATTTTGTCTTAACTAAATATTATAAACGATACTATATAAATATTTGCACAATTTAAGATAATGTTAAAAATATGTATGTACATTTAAGCTTAAATATCGGCGATACAGTTATCAGTTCAGTTTCTGAGAGATTCAACCAACAACTATTACCGTGATAGCGACTGCCAATGAGTCTGCCACCGTGATGTACCCTGAGATGTCGATGAAGGTTTGTTGTTCCACATTGTCGTGGATTCGCTCCTCCCCTGACCACCACTGCCCCGCAGATTCGACATTGTGCACGCAGAGGATCGTTCGCACACAGATCAAAATGTGCCCAAACCGCGCTCGGATTCGTCATAGCACGCAGGCTACGTGCATGAGACCGAACACGATGTGCAACACCCGTGTGTCGATTGGTGGACGACGAGGGTGACAGAGCTGGCATCTCGACCGTTTCCAAGTAGCAGTCCTCCTCGTCCTCAGGTTCTTGCTTCATGGCGACGCCCTCGAGTCGAATGCTCTCCACAATATCTTCTTTGGAAGACGTGGTGATCTCTGCGTGGCAATTTCGGTCACGTTGTTGCTCCTGCAGGAGACGGCGGCTAGTCAGCTTCACGGTGTCCTTGCAGGCCACCAGTACAAGCCGACCCGCCGTCGTAGCCGTTGTGTTCGTTCTTGCTGTGCTGTTTTCCCTTGATTTTTAGTTCCACGCCGATCGTATTTTCGTTTCAGCGATGTGCTCTCTCTGTAGGACGAAAACGCGATACAGTACTGCCATGTTAACCCATTAAGGAGTTAACCAACATTTCGGTACCGTAACATCTCAATTTTTTTTTTTTTTTTTCAATCAATTTTATATTCAAATTTTGTTTTTTTCATAACATTGAGGTTATGAACGAAGAATTCCAAGGATTGCTTTGATTTTTCTTTTTTCTTTTTCAATGTTAATTCGCTTAATGAAATTAAGATTCACCACGATTTACTTAATGGGTTAATTGTCTCGTTAAGTGACAGCTTCACTAGTTTGTAGTGTCTTTGATACTAAAATACTGTCCTTCATAGTTAAAGTGCCTTGTCTAGTATTTCTTCTTTCCAGCAAGACAATCCTATTTTATCGTTTCATTATTATTTATCGCCTTCGTTAAAACTTATTTAAAAAGCATAAACGAGAAATTAAATACTCTAGAACTCTAGAAGCGATTCGAGGAGATACGAGCAATATTTCATTTATGAAATTAATCTGAAGACGTAAAGATATCAATGATCAGTTGATGTAACAAAATGATGGCCAGTTAACGCAATGCTACTGACATATATATATATATATAAAATGCATAATAAGGTCAGGTATCAATCAGGATTCTTACTTCCACTTAACCTATTAAGGTGCAAAATATGAAATGGTACATAAAATATGTACAAATGTAACGTTACAGCATGATAAAAAGCTCGAGAATCCAAGAATTTGAAAATTTAGAAAAACGAAGATTTAAGGATCTAGAAATTTGTGAAATTGAAAAATTAACGTAATATTGGCTCTAAATGATGAACAATATGTAAGATATCTTGGATATATCTCTTTTGATAACTAACCAGATAAGGCCAGCTAAAGCATGACTGTCTTATCTAACAATAAGACAACACAATAAACCGACATATTCTCTTACATACTTGTGCACGACACATCCCGTCCTGGACGTTTCAGTCATGTTTTAATCATGTCAAAGAGAAGATACATAGCATTGAATATAAAAATAGATTTGAAAAACTGAATTTGTTCATCTTATGTAAATATCATGAATATGCGATTCGACAGATCAAATTTGAATCAAAACTTCGGAAAAGTTAATCATCGTTATATTTGTTATATCACATTGACGAATATAGTTTATGTAGTTGAGGGAAAAAAGAGAAAAGATGATCGATCCATTGTTGAAAATTTGCACGATTTTCATGACTTTGGTGTAAGGAAAATGATGTGATGGTAAATGGTGTATCCCTGTCGTAAGTGTACCTATAGTTAGTCGAGGATTATCATGTCAGGTAACCTATTTCGGATATCAAGCTGAATGAAAAATTAGATCGTCATTGAATGAGCCGATGATTTTGACGTTGAATGAAAATTTCTGGTTGCAGAACAATTCTGTAAGAGAATGCGAATAAATAGATAAAATAATATACTTTTTTTACCAAGTTTTATCCAAAACAATATATTTCTTTGTATTGTGTTAAAAAAAAAAAAACTTACAAACGATACTCTCGACCTTGACTAAGTATCATAATTGAATTTGAATGTATCAACGAGCGTAAATAAGTACATTGTATAATTTAAAGTATGTACAAAGTTTTACAGTAGTAGAAGGAGAAAAAAAAAATATTGAAATATAGTATAATGTATAATATAAATTTTTTGACATGGTAATACTTTGGAAAAAGCGTTAACAACGAGTAGATAAAATATAAATGTATATATGCTCGTTCACGCACTATCTTTCTCGTTTCTGAATGTCTCTTCGTTACTCTCATTCTTTTTAGCACACCGTGTCATCACTCAACAGACGACACATGGATAATACATATTAACGATTTATCCGATGAGAACGTGCGATAGTGTATCACACACACACACGTGTGTGTATACACGCAGGCTAGATCGATATATTGCATTATAACGATATTGGTTGATACAAATGATCAGTGGTGAAATGTAGAGGAAAGAAAAAAGAAAAAAGAAAGAGAGAAAAAAATTGAATTTTTATAAATCTACACATACATACGTACATAGAAAACGATCTAAAAACATCTACGGAAGTTCTACTCCATCTGCAAAGTTCCTTTTCTTTTTCTCTTCTCCCCTCTCTCCCACACCGAAATCTCCCATCCCACTCCCCACCATTAGGCCACGTTTCCCATCTCATACGCCGTGTTCCCTCGATCTTTCTCGCTTCTCTGTTTCCTTTCTCTTTTTCTTTCTCTCCCTCTCTCGCTCTTTCTATCTTCTTCGCATTCTCTTACTCATTCTTTTGTTCTTACTCTCAAGTCCTCCCTCTCCTTGCCTCCCAGAAGAATTCTCTTAAGCGACCGGCTATAAAATGGCAACCGTTGCTACCAAGCACGATATCGAGTGGCACACGCCACTGCTACGTTGCTACATCTATTCTACCTCGGTGCTTCTTTCTACTTTCTGCCTGTTTTCGTTCTCCCTCGTTCGTGTCACGATGTCGTCACTTAAATCGGGTCTGTCGTCGTTCAATTCGCGGCTACGAAACCGGTTCGATTTTCAGTACTGTGTATATGTGTGTATGTGTGTGTGTGTATGTGTGTGTGTGT